TTCTTTTTTTTTTTTTTTTACCATTTTCTGAAGTTTTGATGGAAAGATTTTTCTACCATCGCGAACTCCAATTTTTCAGGACAACTTCCATTGTTTCTCTGCAGCTATTTTTTGTTTTCACTTTGGAACCATTAGTTTTGTGAAAACAGGATTTGCATTGGGAGTGTGCATTTAACTATCTTTAGATTTATCTAAATTTTAATATTAGTAGGCTTTCATACTGAGGTTCAGTCCAATAAATATCAAAAATTGAATGCAAGGGTGTATGAGTTCGGCAAAAATACTGAAACTACGCTCGGAGAAAGAACTGATTTTCTTCTAAGTTAGAGCTCTCCAGTGTCTAGGAAGGCTTGGCTATAAAAGACGACGGAGTGTTAACTGCAATGATCACCGACCTTTCCAAATTTCAACAAGCTAACATTTCAAATTACATTGTAGGCAATCTCCTTATTCATCACCAAATATTGGCATATAACCATTGAAGAAGATAAGATAAGTGGAAAGTCAAACTGTCTTGTAACGATCTCTAGAGTCTTCGGTCAAATTTGTCTTATTTCCTGTAGTAGAATAACAAATATCCCATTGCAAGCATTTTTTTTTTCCCCATGTTTATTGCTAAAATTCGAATCCACATATCCAATTTTATAAAAAGAAAATTCCTTTATCGAATTCAAATACGCAGACAAGCATCATGTGTGTCATAAATCTCAAATCATTTCCAACATTTGCCAAATATATATATCAAGATGCCATAGAATGTTCATAAAACATATCTTAAATAACAGTGATATAAGATCAGAGTGATTATGTATTTACAAACAGTTTTCAAGGCGACGAAAACCAAAGTCAATGATCACATTGAAGAAACTAACTTTCCAGAGTCGATTGTACGTTCAGAAAGCGAGCCATGTATCCACCTCTTCAGCATCTCTAATGAAGCTTTTGGCTGATCCATTGGAACCATGTGTCCGGAATCATGGACCTGTATGTTATCAAACACAATAGTGAGAGTTCAGCAAGTCCAGTAATCTCCACGGACAAATATAAATGTTTGAAAAGAAGAGGGGTAAATATGGACCTTTAAGAAACTGAGAGGCCCGTGATTTTTCAACAATCCTGCTTTAGAACCATCAACTTCAAAAGGAGTTTCAGAGGATGCTATGAACTCTTTCCGCCCACTCCATTCCATTGCATGAACCCATCTCGAGTTACCTGCTCAATTTTAATTACAGATGATTATAAAAAAAATTATTTTTACCAAGATTATAGTAAGTTGAAGACCAAATTTGAATAAATAATATTTCCTCTCTAATAGCTTAAACTTTTAGACGAGGTGGTACAACATTTTCAAGAAAGACGAGTTCATATCTTAACGCCACCCATTTATAAATATTGTGCATGTGTTGATGCTTTAAAAAAATATGAATGAATTTCAATAGACGACTGTGCCCCCACTATAATAATTCTAGCATAGTATACAACAAAAATTCACTGCAAGTTGAAAAGAGCCTCACCAAGCCAGTTACAAATAAGATCATATTCTCCAGCATACACCAGCAACTTTATACCGTCCTCGAGAAGAGAGGGGATACCAACTTCAAGATTTCTCATCCAATCAGTAAGCATGGCCTGGTACACAGTAGTACTGCAGGACACAAACTCTATATCCCCAACTCCAAGTGTATTCCTGACAGACTTTTGGTTGAGGAATTTCTCCAAGTTTGAGAAGTCATAGCAGAGGCTGCCTTCACACTTCTTTCTAATGTCATAATACTGCAAGTAAAAATATCAATACTCAAATTTCAATAGGGCCAATTATCATCTTGAATGTTATGCTAATCTTCAATGAAAATGAATGGAGTAATAGGGTTGGAGCAACATTTCTAAAATTTCCCCATTCATTAGTCACACTGCCAAGCAATTGACACCTTTTTCCAAGAAAAAATCTAAAAATTCATCTTTCATGTATTTTTTGACTTCCAAACATCGGCATATGTTAGCCATAAATAATACTATAAGTTGTATTACTTCCTTACATTCAAATCGCCAACACGAGCAATGATAGAACTGAATATGGTATTGCAAACAAAATAGGCAGCCATGCAAGAGACTGTCCCATCAGTGCCTGAAACAAGTAAAATGAAATTAAAGCTAAAAGTAACTTCACCCACTGAAAACTATTAGTTCAAATTGGTTAGAGTCCAGGAAGTTATACAAAAAGAAAAAGAGTTTCTTTTAAGAAAATCTAATTTGCACAATAATGCCCATTTTATCATTTGACCATATTACCATTATAGGTTCATGTCAACCAGCAATTTATCTCTCAAAATAACACCACGTCCTAGTTTCTGCACCAACATTTATAAATCTGAAAAATTGTTTATAACTGCATCCAACAACTAATAACCATTCAAAGTTTCTATCAATGAATACACCACTTTCACCACCCAAGGAGCCCAATCCATCCCAAAAGTTTCCAACTTCTTTGGAATAAAATATTGAAATTGGCCAAAAAGGCAATAATTGATGACAATATCAACGTCAAGTGAGCAGAAAGAAGTGTCCATAGAATCTGATTTGCGGAAGGGACAGCCAATCCTGAGAGCTCACTGAATTTGCTGCACAGAAAAATGAACTAATGCATAGAAAGATAACTTAGCCTTCACCACCTGCCATCCCACATTTCTTAACCCCTACTCCTGCCAGTATTGTGTAGAATGAGGTTAAGAAACAGTTCAATTACTGTTGTGCAGGTGCAAGGAAGTCCAGAGAGAAAGAGCGCATGTATTTTGTTCCCATAATTTCATTTAGAAAGGATGAACTTGTCTTCTAAGTTCTAATATATAACTATTATGGCATTTTAACATGTATTATAATAGTGGGACCACATTGGCATTTAATTTGGAATAGCATTGAATAACAAATAAATTTCGGAGGGTGCTATCTTGGAAAACAATAAACACGCACCATTTTCCAACCGCCAAATGTAGAAGAGCTTTTGCAGAGAAAAATTAATGGAATGGAGATCTTAATTCTTCTTATAGATGGGGAAAGGAGGAGGGGGGGGCGGGGGGGTGTTGAGAGTCATAAGGTGTCAATTTACCACATAGCTTTATTGCTGATTCACACAGTGGAAGCACTTTATTGATACGATCATGATCTGACTGCGAAATTATTCCCATGTCAAGTGCATAATCAGCATAAGCACCATACTGAATTCCTGGATCTGTGAGCCCATTTCCAATAGCAAAACCCTGTATGTTCCCTCAAGTAAGATAAAGCAACATAATCTTACAAGCATACACACCACATAAGTGCAAAGGGAAAAATACCTTCAGATTTACATGAATTCCTTTTTTTGCTTTGTTTCCTTGGTGAACGCGAGCAGCAAAAGCAGGAATGTAGTGCCCGGCATATGACTCTCCAGTAATATAAAAGTCATTACTTGCAAGATCAGGATGCTCCTTAAAGAAAGCCTATATTGAGAAAACTACTACAGTGAACTTTCTTTTAGTTAAATGTATAATATTTAGTAGAAACCTCCAGTTGACAAAGGAACATTTTTTCCCAAGAATGATCTTTAACTTTCTTCTCTTATAAACTGGTTTGATTCTTCAACATATTATACTTGTAAGAAGGCATTCACATTTTCAGTAACAACATAAATTCATAATCAAGAAAATAAGTTGTTTCCCAGAGAGTAGTTTGCATCGAAAATGTTTAGGCCCCTTTTAGTAACCCATCAGATTTAGTTTCAACTTTTAAAATGAAAATGCATACGACTTTATGCATTTTCTCGAAGAAAAAGCAAAGAAGTAAAATGTTTGAATTTGGCAATTGTTTATACTTGAAGAAAACAATTATCACTTCATGTTTCCTGCAAAGAACATACAGATGGTCCCTTGATACAGTGGAATAAAAAAAGACGATCCAGTTAACCACCTCAGATAAATATGGCACTAATGTTTTTTTAGTTGTCTTTTTCTATCATTAACCACATTGTGGAGCCGTATGCCCCTTCAGTTGCTTTCAAAAATTTTATTGTCAGTCTAGGAAAAAGCTACAGATGTTTATATTCCATCATTCTAGAGTAGAGGAGGGGAAAGAGAACAAAGCAAAACTGACCTGTAAAAAATCATACAAGTCATCGCTGACACCCTTTTCATCATGCCTCATGTCACGTCTATCAGAGCTATAGCTGAAGCCAGTCCCAGTAGGCTGGTCAACATACAAAATATTCGAGACCTGCAGAATCATCAAAGGAAATAAATCAATTTTCTTTGACACCTAAAATACCATTATCATACGGGCGACTGTTGAAAATTCTACAAATGGTAAGCAGGAAAGCAAATTCATCCACTCTCTCTCTTATTTTCTTCAGTTAATTTCCTAGTAATTTGAAATAAAAATCTATGAGAATGGCATCACCTTATCCCACCCATACTCATTCCATACAAGAGATAGGTTATTGGCAATGGTGAAAGGTCCGTTCTCATAGAAAAGAGCCATCTCACTGCTACAACCTGGTCCACCGGTCAACCAGATGACAATAGGATCTTCTTTGCTGTTACGTGATTCAAAGAAAAAGTAAAACATCCTGCAATGAACACCGCTCTATTGTTAATTAGGACAACATGAAATGTGAGTAAAGACTTTTAGAGGGAAAATAGTAGCTACAAAAAACAGATAAACAGGATTTCAGGGAAGAAAGTTTTGGGTATCATCTGAGATTCAGCTATTTGATGCTGCTACATCATATCAGCAATTTAAGGATTGAAGAATCTAAGCTATCAGAAAACAATTAATACATATTCCTTCAATGCAAGTCCATGAAAATAAGCACACGATGAAAATATTCAAAACATCGGGAAATTCATTCAATACAAACCAGAACTTAAATTGAATAAAATCCATGAAAGTGTTCAAGTCCATTGCATAAATAACATCAAGCCTTAATCCTATAAGTTTGGAGTCAAATACACGTATCAACTTCGCAGCTCTGTTCGGTTGATTGCTAAATCTTCTAGAAAATCCAAAGCAACTACATCCTTTGCAACCAGAAGAAGCCATGTTATTTTTGCCTACCCATCCTCTTCTAAAGTCTTGAGATCAATCACTCTTATGAGGGAGCCTCTTTAGGTATACATAAGAAATGTCTCAATCACCTATATACCATTTCCTTGATCTCGCTTCATTTAATGCCACTTCTACTTTTTGGCATAAATTGTCATTTCTTGCTGGTATGATCAAAACTCCATCTTAGCATTTTCATTCCTACGCCTACTGCATTCATCTTATGGACATGTTGTTCTTTAACAACCAAACACTCAATAACATTAAGTTCACTGGTCTAATAAATGTTAAAATAAATTGCGGTGACCATCCCCAATCTTTATTTCATTTTGCACTTCTGCCCCTAAGCTTTGTTTCTTGGCATTATCTTCCATAAATTACTAAATTGGTGGTGGTTGTCTCTGATGACGGTTTGCCAAAACTTTTTTTGTTAAGGCGATGGAAAAAAAAATACACTTGGAGCTTAAATAAACAACAAATAAATATAAAAAGAAAAAAAATGAAAAATTTAGTCTTCTTCTCCGACAAATAAATTTGACTAAAGCAAACGAATATGAAAAGCATTCAATTCTGGAGGAGGTTGAATCACTAAATAGAATAAATCAATAAATAACTGTGAAAGGAAAAAATAAAATCACCGAGAAAACGCTCGACAGTAACAAATTTTGAGGAACAGAGATTGATATTTGTATGAAAACAAATGACAGAAGATTCTCCTAAGCAAAGGGTTTAAGGAACAAACTTAGCGGCATGAGAACGCTGAATCTGGTAGTAACCAGCATGGTGCCCCAGGTCCTCGAGCGAAACTCCTCTAGGATCAACCAAATTGGGAAACTTAACACGCCACTCGACAATATTATGACCAGAGGAAAAATAACTAGCATTTTCACGTTCTAAATCAACCACATTGATCGGTTTATTAGGGAACAAGTTGAGGTCTCGGATTAGCTTCTCTGCCCCAATCGACGGCGGGCGGAGCAATGCCACGGCCGAAGAGAGTAGAGAAAGGAGGAGAAAAGCGAAGATAGAGAGAAATTTTGCAGAGTAATTCTCCATTATGGGGTGGGATAGGAAATTGAGATGATGAAGAAACGTGAAAATATATATACACGCGCGCGCAGAAAAGGTTGGGTGGGTGTAGGTGGGGGTAGGCCTAACGGTCAACAGAGAATTAAGATGGGTTCATGGGGTGAGATCTGGCGCATTTATCGGACAATCCTTCTCTTATTATTTCTGATTATAAATTATTTATAAATTCATGAAACGAAAACAAAAGCAAGAATCAAAGAATATCTAAAAAAATGATTATTTTTTAACATTTAAAATTTTTACTAATTACAATGCTCGATTATTTTGATTATTATATCGAAGAGAATTATAATTATTACATAAAACAACGTTTGAATTTTGCAAAATAAATTTTAAAAATATTTAAGAAGCTAAGAAGATTCTGAGCGGTAGTTATCCCCTGTGGGTAGGGACTAGGGAGGAAGGGACGGTGACTTAGACTCTAAGCAATGAAGTTGCTTTAAGTTTAAAAAACTCTCATTGTATAAACTTTCTACATCATCTTTCTCTACAAAGTTCCAATTTTCAGCACTTTTTTTGGTTGAAGTCTTTCAAATAACTATGTTAAACTCTTCGTACTTATGGTTACTAGAATAGCTAAACTCCACCCTATTCTTCAAACTCTTCGTGAAGTTTGATAGGTTTCATCGACTTGATCCCAATCTGGTTGAAAGCAGTGGCGGATCCTATTAGTTGTAAATATTTTACTTTTATCACATGTAATGCACGTGCACAAGTATTTTATTCTTCTAGATGTGTATATGTATACAGTTGATTTGAAGAAATAAAATTGAGTCATTTTTCTCTTTCTTCTCTCTGGAAAGTTCGATATCTCTCTCCCTCTTTCATGGTATCAGAGCAAAACCCTAGTCCCCTCCAATTCTTCTTTCGTTTTTTTTATCGTGATTCTTCCTTTCCTTCTATCACAAATCTATGGCTTCATCTGATTCGAGTATTTCCACCAATTTTGAGGATTATTCCAATCCTCTTTATCTCCAACACGGTGATCATCCCGGTGTTGTGCTTGTTTCTCAGCTACTTAATATCGATAACTTTCTCACCTGGAGTCGTTCTATGTCCATGGCTCTCTTGTCTAAGAACAAGATGTGTTTTGTCGATGGTACTCTGCCCTCACCTTCTCAATCTGATCCTAAGTACAACGCCTAGCTTCGTTGTAACACAATCGTACTTTCATGGCTTTTAAACGCCATGTCCAAGGAGATTGCTGCATCTGTGATCTACATTGACTCCGCTGCCGAGATGTGGAATGACCTCAAGGAGCGGTTTGCTCAGAGTAATCGTCCTCGAACCTTTCAAATCCGTAAGAATATTGCTTCTTTGAATCAAGAAGCATCATCTGTAAGTGCCTATTTTACTCGATTGAAATGTTCTTGGGAGGAAATGATACATCTCCGTTCTTTTCCTCCATGCTCTTGTGGAGCTCTTAAGAAAATTGTTGAATACCATCAGGAAGACTATGGTCTTCAATTTTTGATGGGCCTTAATGAGTCATATGCTTCCCTACGCAGTCAGATTCTACTTTCTAGTCCGTTTCCCCCAATTAACAAAGTTTTTTCTCTCGTTCTTCCAGAGGAAAAATAGAGAGAGATTATTTCTGATTCTATAGTTCCTGTTGAATCTGCTGTTATGCTTTCTAACCGTGATACTACTGGATCCAGATATGGAAAACCTATTTGGATCTCGCAGGGAGCGTCCACTTTGTACACACTGTGGTTTATTAGGCCATACTATAGATAAATGTTACAAGATCCACGGATATCCTCCTGGATACAAACAGAAACCACGGAGTTCCATTGCGAATTAAGTCACTGCTCTACTAGTTTCTGATTCAGTTTCAACTCAATTTCCTTTTTCTCAAGAGCAATGTAATCAACTCCTTGCATTACTACACAATAATTCTATTGTGTCCTCTGTGAATCAAGCTGGTACTATCTCTGCTTTATCATCTTCTCATGTACCTTCTACATCCAATCCTCATTTTCAGGTATTCCTGTTACTCTTTCTTCTACTATTGACCACCGTACCAGTCCGATTGAGTATTGGATTCTGGACTTCGGTGCCACTGATCATATGATTGGCTCTATATCCTTTTTTTTTTCCATTCGTACTTGTTTAAATATTTATGTTAAGCTTTCTAATGGTTCACATGCTAAAGTCACACATATAGGCACGGTTAGGCTTTCTAATTCTCTTGTTCTAACTGATATTCTATATGTTCCTGCATTTGCTTTCAACCTTATTTCTGTAAGTAAATTGGTTTCACAGTCATCATGTTTCTTTTTGTTCTTATACGATTTTTGCTATATTCAGGACCACTCAAATTGGAGGACGATTGGAGTAGCTAAACAAATACGAGGCTTATATCATTTGCTGCAAGTTCCAAGCATCTTTTCTGTTTCTTGTAAACCTGTTGATCCTATTGTTTTTCCCTCTTGTAATTATGTCAGTAATACTTCACATATATGACATTATCGTCTTGGTCATTTGTCTGACTCTAGACTCTGTGGCATTGCTTCTGATCTTCATAGCTTCACATATACACATAATAAACATTGTGTTGTTTGTCCCCTTTCCATTAAGTGCTTCCGTTTCTATTTCTGCATCTGATCGTATTCATTGTGATGTATGGGGACCTTTTTCTATACTCTCTTATAATGGCTTCAAATATTTTTTGACTATTGTGGATGATTTTAGTAGATGTACTTGGATATACTTGCTTAAATCAAAATCTGAAACTCGACATTATATTCATTCCTTTTTTGCTTTGGTTGAAACTCAATTTCACTCCAAAATCAAAATTTTTCGTTCTGATAATGCCTTGGAATTTGATATGAAACATTTTTTTTTCTGCCAAAGGTGTTATCCATCAACATAGTTGTGTATATACACCTCAACAAAATGCCATTGTTGAAAGAAAACATCAGCACTGATTAAATGTTGCTAGGGCTCTTAGATTTCAATCTAATATCCCTCTGAATTTTTGGAGTGATTGTGTTTTGACTGCTGTTTATCTTATTAACAGAATACCAACCCCAGCTCTTTCCAATAAATCACCAAATGAAGTTTTAGTTTTTGCCAAACCTTCATATAATCATCTTAAAATTTTTTGTTGTCTTTGTTATGAATCCATTCTTGGTGGATCTTCTCATAAATTTTTTGCCCAAGCTCAACCTCGTGTCTTTCTTGGTTATCCAGCTGGTATAAAAGGGTATAAGCTCTATAATATCCATAATCACAAAATAATAGTTTCTAGGGATGTTATCTTCCATGAAACTGTTTTTCCTTTTAAATCTACTTCCTTGAGTCATATGGATTCCTCTTCTATATCTGTTCCTGTCTTACCAAACCCTATACCAGATATTGTGCTCAATTCCCCATCTCCCATTTCTTCATCTTGTGGACATGAATCTATAGACCCTATTTCTGATACCATTCCCATCCGACAGTCTACAAGAAACGGGAGACGCCCTGCAGACTTGCAGCACTATCATTGTTCCTTGATTTCTAAAAACAAAGCTACTTCTTCTCCTCTATTTAATGGTTCTTCAAGTCCAGGTACAGTTTATCCTATTTTTTCCTTTTTATCATATTCTAAATGTTTTGATTCCTTCCTGCATTTTTGCTCTTCTGTCGATTCCCTTTATGAACCAAAATTTTTCCATCAAGCCATTAAACGTTAGCTGAAATCAATGCTCTTGAATCTAACAATACTTGGGTTTTAACTGAGTTACCTACTGGTAAGGAGCCAATTGGTTGCAAGTGGGTCTTTAAGTGCAAGTTGAAGTCTGATGGCACTTTAGAGCGATATAAGGCTCGTTTGGTTGCAAATGGGTATACTCAACTTGAGAGAATTGACTACTTTGATACTGTTTCTCTGGTTGCCAAACACACAACAGTACGCTGTTTTCTTGCTTGGCTGCCCTACATAATTAGAATTTACATCAATTGGATGTCAATAATGCATTTCTTCATGGGGAATTAGATGAAGAGGTGTACATTACATTACCACCTGTTTTTTCTAAACCTAATGAGACTCGAGTATGTAAGTTGCTCAAGTCCTTATATGGTCTTAAACAGGCATCCCGCCAATGGTTTTCTAAGTTCTCTTCCACCTTGATCAGTTATGGTTTTACTCAGTTAAAAGCTGACTATTCTTTGTTGATAAAGTATTAGGGTGATTCTATTATTGCACTATTGGTATACGTTGATGACATTGTTATTGCTTCTAATAATTCCAAGTCTCTTGATGATCTTAAGGCTTTTCTTCATACACATTTTAAGTTGAAAGATCTTGGACATTTGAGATATTTTTTGGATCTTGAGGTGGCAAGATCTTCCAAAGGTATTTCTATCTCTCAAAGAAAATATGCTCTTGAAATTGTCAATGATTCTGGTTTATTAGCTGGAAAGCCCATTCATTCTCCTATGGATTAGAATTTGAGGTTATTTAAAACTGAATCTTCTGGCCCTTTGATTGATGATCCCGCTTCATATCGAAGGTTGATTGGCAAACTTCTATATTTGACATTGACTAGGCCTGATATTTCCTTTTCTGTGAACACTTTGAGTCAATTTATGGATCAGCCACGTCAGTTTCATCATGATGCTGCTTTAAGAATTGTTAGATATATCAAGGCTACTGCTGGTCAAGGTCTTTTCTTTCCCAGTTCTTCTTTGTTGCAGTTGAAAGGTTTCTGTGATTCAGATTGGGCCACTTGCCCTGATTCCTGCTGCTCTGTTACTGGTTTTTGCTTTTATCTTGGAGATTCTTTGATTCCATGGAAGTCTAAGAAGCAAATTACAGTTTCCAGGTCTTCGGCTGAAGCTGAGTACAGGTCCATGGCATCTGCTTGTTGTGAACTTAAATGGCTGCTTTCTTTATTTGCTGATTTCAGAATTCATTTTTCTTGTATTGAGATGGTAAAGCAGCCTTGTATATTGCTATTAATCTTGTTTTTCAAGAAAGAACCAAACATATTGAGATAGATTGCCATTTAGTTAGGGATTTGATACAAGTTGGCACTGTAATTACATTACATGTATCTTCTGAACATCAGTTAGGTGATTTCTTTACAAAACCTCTCGGCACAGATAGGTTTCATGGTCTTCTTCGCAAGCTGGGTGTGATTAACTTATACAGTCCAGCTTGAGGGGGCCTATTAGTTGTAAATATTTTACTTTTATCACATGTAATGCACGAGCACAAGTATTTTATTCTTCCAAATGTGTGTATGTATACACTTGATTTGAGGAAATAAAATTAAGTCATTTTTCCCTTTCTTCTCTCTGGAAAGTTCGATCTCTCTCTCCCTCTTTCAGATCCAACCATGAGTTTGGACACGGGTTGCAATATTATTGTACATGGGTTTCTCTTTAAAAAAAAGTTGACATTTGCAGGGGCGTGTTGGTCCACTGAAAAAATGACTAGAGGAGCTCCATATTTTTCATTTCATTTCTTCTGAAAATACATCCAATCAATGAGCTTCCATCAAAGAAGCAGCAATGACATATGATGTCCATAACAATTTTGTGAAGGCAGTTCAATTTGTTCTATGAGTAAGGTACAATAATACATCAAAATTACTATACATGGCTGTCTCTGTCTGAAGGTCTAACCATATACAAATTATGAAAAATCGAAACAGCTATAAGATTGGACTAGTTTAACTATTGTTACAACAACTAAAAATTGGAAGTTGAATGGATATTGAAATTTCAAGCTTCAATTATATTTCACATTGCTGTGCAAATAGAAAGCTTCCGAAAAGACCTAGAATAAGATTATCTAGTCGAAAAGTCCCTCATCGTGCCAGATATCAACCAAAAAGTCCACCATCTCCTGCATAATGTGTGTGTATATATATATCTGGATCAGTATGCATATGCACGGTTTGTACATTAAAGTCTACATAATAATGCCCCATGCTTGCACCAAAAAAGCATATGAGCAATTTGATCTTGTTAGAGCAAGTCAGCAAAAGTAGGAAAAGACTAAAACTTAGTTGCTAAGGATACGCAAATTTATTGGTAAAAATGCTTAGTTTGTTGGATTGTACTAAAATTCATACTCTGCTCTTAAGCTGGCACATGAAGCTCATTTAAGTCATCGTTTGAGTTAAGGGGGCACCTAAATACCTAAAAAGTGCATATGCAGTTTTTTATCCAGAGAACTTACAGGTAAAGGGATTGGTTCGGAAAAAGTGTCATTAGTCGAGAGTAAGCCTTCATAGGTCATTGACCAGCTGCAAGAGCAAATTTCAGAGTAGATTTCAATGTATAAACTGAGAAATGAAAATCAATGACATCATAACGGTTCTTGGTTCTCTCTTTTACAGAGAAAAAAGGACCAAATATGTGCAACGGAAGCAGTTGTATTATATACCCTAATTACTTAGAACTATATAACAGAATCATCTTACGACAAAACTTTATGTGGGCCTTCAAGGCATAGTAACCAGCTGTTCTTGTTGCATAAAAATAGATTAGTTAGACAAGTATACATACGTCAATTAACTCTGAATTTAATGACGCAATATTGGATCTTCTAGCCGTTCATATCATTGCAACTATATCAAATAGTGCTACCACATTTTGTGTGTCCCTATAGCGCTATTAGCAATCAAGGAAGACGGAAAATTAAGTGCAGTACCTTATAATTGGATCCTTTGGCACCCTTTCCGGCCTCTGAGATAGATCTCCAATCCATTTTCTTCTGCTCTCATGCCATGAAATCGCAGCTACAAACACAGACATATTAAAGATCTCTCATTAACCTTTTTAGTTTATTATATATATATATATATTCAATCATCTTCTTGTGTAAGTCACACTCATTTTTTCTTTGAAGGCTTAGTAAACTTTCATAAATGCTTGAAGCTGTTAGGGAGAGAACTTCATTAATTTCGATATGAACCTCCATGGTTTAACTTTGGAAATTGAAACAATGCAGCAGAAGAAGAGAGTCATGTAAACCAGATGAACAGGCTTTGTTAAGTATATTTGACCCACACAGAGATTAGAAGACAAATCATACCATTTACTTCAATACACAAGAGCCATGGATGTGACTAAAATCATTAAAATATTTAGGCCCTTACTTTTTCCTTTCTTTCGTTAATTTAAACATGTATAATTTTCCTTGAAAACGTCTAATTGAGTTATCTATTTCGATAAACTTTCAATTTACATACCAGTAAAGCCAGCAAAGGTATACGTAAGAAATATTAACTTTTTGAACCCCATGTCATGATTAAGCGCCTGTTTGAGCCCCATTTTTTGCCCAAAATACATTTTGAAATAGTATTTTGGTGAAGAATGTGTGATTAAAAAATAAGGAAAAATTTCGAATTTGTGTGTAATATTATTTTATTGAAGACTGTGTGGTTGAAAATAAAGGAGAGAAAAATTTGAAAATAATGGGTACCAAACAAGGGCTATGTATCTTTATATACTCGATTCCTTACAAAGATAATTATAAGCAAAACTTACCATGATTGACAAACACAGAAGTGCTCATGTGATTTTCTCCTGGCTTTTTCGATTCATTAACTGGTGTTGGATTCTCTAAAGGTATCTTCTTATTGCAGCAGGAAATTCCAATTTCAACTTCCATAGTTAACAAGAATGAAAAACCATCCCCTTTCTGTTGAAAGAGAAACTATCAACAACTTGTTTCTTCAAATGACCTCTTAAGATTGTCTCTATACGTACAGTTAGCTATGAAGAAGGATTTTAATGTAACTACTGCTCTGCTTAAAAGAGATTTTCTTTCAATAAACACAATAACGGAGGACAATTGGAATAGAGAAACAATGACCTTTGCAAAACTTTTTCTAAAATGGAAATTGAAATGAAGTTACATATGTATTCAACTTTCATAGTGAGTATGCACCAATTTCTATTTCATATTAGCATGAGTTGCCCCAGAACATAATATGTCAAGTGAAATTTTAATGTTGCATATAGAAAGAAAAAACTAATATCTGCCGTATGCCCAGCGTCCAACTCAAACCCAAAAGGTTAAGAGTGAAAAGGCCATAGGACTCGTGCCATTATTTTAGCAAGTGGTGTGTCAGCTATATGGTATAAGCTTTAACACTCCCTGTAACAGTGTTCTCAGCTTGAAAAAAGCGGAGGCTTTTAAACTCATACAAGAAGATTTCAGAAGTTCAAAACAAGTTGCAGATGAATTAATAAAACTCAAAAGAAACTAACTGAACAATTAAATAAGAGCATAAAGAAAGCGGGAAACTCGAATGCATTCACTATACGAGTTCCCAACTCTCGAAGGTATAAGCAAAATAAGATGTGAGAGACAGTAACATGAAGAAAAGGGCAATTAGCTATCAAATGAAGCAAATAAGATCGAGGGACTTGATCCTAAAACTCAGTAAGTGGACAGGATTAAATCAGGGAAGACCTCTCAATTCTCTTGAACCTTGAACATGTAAGAAAATGACTCTCTCTACAAAGAAGATCTTTGTCTCATGGCAGCTTGCTCTGGTCCTGTCGTGAAACTTCCGTTATTGATAGTGATCATATGCTTCACATGTATCTAGTGATTCACATGGCATCATCAAATGATATAAGTCTTGAATAAGAGTATACAAGACACTAAAAATAGACTTGTTGATGACCCTTTACTCAAAACAACGTCTAAGAATCCTCAAACAACGTGATATCTTACAACAAGTGAAGCCTTAACTCATCTCTCTCTTACTAAGACCATAGAATGTTCTTGTGAATTTTTGTGAGAACAACTGGTTGGACTAGAGAGCTCGATCCTCTGGAATCTAGCTGTTTCCCCCATTCCGTCCCTCCTATCCGGTTACGCCTTCCATCCAGAGTACACAAGTTCAAAGAAGTGGTATGCAATGATTGAATGATCTTTAATATTTCAAGAAAAACCAGGTGGAATCACAAGGACCTCCCTTTCGACCTTCAAAAAGACTAACTCTCTCTTTCAATCCACCCTGAGGAAGTTAATACTCTTTCACCTCATCAACAAGCAATGTGATTAATTACCATTTACAGATAACAGCTTCCCCAAAAGATGGCCAACGAAATTCTATCAGAAAAAGATAATTTAAACCAAAACCAAAAATTGATCTTTCACAAAAAACATAAATCTTTTTCCACAATTAGCACTTCCCAATCCCATTTATAATTAAACATGATAACAGATTCACACACACTTTACCAACGCAACCAATCGAGAGAGAGGAAAAAAAGAATATTCTTAAAGCAAGAAAACATTAAAAATAAAAAATATATATAAAGACAAGAAAAGGAAAGAAATGTTGTACCTTTTGTATGGCTTTCTCTCTGTCGGGCAAGTGAAAGTGGCGAAGAAAGAATCGAGCGAGCTAGAAAGGGGGTATTTATAGAGAGAAAAGAATATAATATCATTTTCTTGATTTGTTGGCATACTGTTTTACAAGTTTCTGCCTGTTTCTCTCTCTCTCTCTCTCTTTCTATCTGACGTGGATTATGATTTACATGTTTCTTCGTGGTTTCACGTGATCATAACATATTGAGTGGGTCGGCCGGTACGGCCTAGGGCCTATAACAGGCTGGGCCGTGGGCCGGGCTGGGCTGCGCTACGCTGGCTAAGGAAAATACCTTTAGAGGAAATTACACTCAGACAGATTTTTAAAATATCAATTTCACAAATCAGGTCACTACTTTAACTTTTCAAAAATCAGGTTTTATTTTATTTTATTAAATATTAATTATATTAAACATAATCAAACCTAAATTTCCCAAATTCATCTTTCTTCATCCCTCCATTTTCTCTCACTGTTCTTCTCCCCCTGCCGCCACCGTCG